GTAGGCCTAGAGTATGCCGATGATAGTACCCTGCTCGGTGACAACCTGTCGACGAATGAAGATTCAAGTATGCGAATGACTGGAAAACATTGCCTTGGAAGCACACGACCGGTTCTGCGGTTCTTGCCACTCGTTAAGCATGCGTATCCGGTTATCCTATGCCAGTTCATTTACATACTTGTACGCAGGAAGTGTATTTTCGTCACAATAATCTTGTTTGCAACATCGGGTGACTTCTGGATAGAGAGCTCTTTCAGAGCAGGTCCGTTGAAGAATCAATGCTATGATTCGATGTTTTGAGGTGGGTTAGATGCCACTAACAGCAACAAACGTAACTTTATCATCTTAATAAGTATTATGTGAATGACGGGACCGAATTTCTCTGGAAGCCTATATACGGACTAAGACTGAAGGGATAGTGAATGAGTAGGTGCATGAGCGCTACTGTTTGCAACACTTCGACTTGAACGTACCTTTTCATGTCGAAATTCTGTTTTGCCATACCTCGCTCACCTACTTGTTGACAAGGAGGAAGTTTCCACAGAAGTACGCAATTGCCTGCTGCACTGAAAAAGACGATATCTACCGCCTTCGGTTTCATTTTGTATGATTTTGTAAATTTGGATCCACAAATATGGTGTAAATTCCTGAAAGATTACGTGTCGAGGTGCAGAAAGCTAAAATTGACTTTATTGACATGAATTGCTGTATTACTTTCCCAGATAGCGAGCTTGATTAACCTAGTCTTCAAGTGACATTTTGAACTTTGAAGGTGCAAACCCCATACCGAGCATGACTACGCTAGTACTCAAACTTTCTAGAAAAGCTTGCAACTTACCTAAATCTTCGATTATCAGCAGGATCTCGTCTGTACACTCTAAGTCAAGCAGTTGGCCAGATGGCGCAATCCAATTTCACTAACCTCCCACGGGGATAGAGCTGTTTCTAGGATAATAACTATAACAAAGTTGAAAAAAATGGAGAGCGGGGGAGACCCTGAAGAACACCACTTCCTGTGTTTAACTGGGGCGGGAAAGTACCATGAACCCAGACGCGGCTTCGGCTATCAGTATAAAGGGATAGTAACAGCGAAATAAACTTCTCAGGCACACCCTTCAAAGAAAGTCCGCGCCAGAGAATAGAGCGACTGATTAAGATGAAAACCACTTTTAAATCGAGGAAGACAGAAATGATGGCGCTATCCCTATCTGAGCACAGAGTGCGGAAAAATATCAGTTAACGTATGGTATGTGATAACGGTCAGAGATGAATGAACCCAATGTGCTCAGGAATCTGTACAGATTTGTATTCACTGTACTGTAAAACACTGAGAAAACGGGTTTGTATACAACTTAAAGAGGCTATGTAACTGGCCCATCAAGAGCAAACACTTAAAGGAGTCCGCAAGCACATTGGTTGGGTCCAGAATTCGAAGGTCAAATTCACCCTTAGGGAAAACTGAATGTACGTTGTATTCAGAGGTAGCTGGAAATTTAACTTTAATACGGGCGTTACCGGGTAATTCAACACACGTGAAATCTTCAGTTATTGTTCTTGGGAAGGTAGTTACTTGTACGAGTCAGACAGAAGGACAGTCATTCAATCTACCACTGAAACTAACCGAGAGGTCTGTATCTTCGAACGCTACTCATGCCAATACTCATATTTCTCAAGATTGTCTGTTATAGCTAATATGGTGTGTGAGTACAAAATGAAAACTGGGGCAGGGAAAGGAAAAAATAATTAGTTGAACTGTATAGCAAACGGGAGATTGAGTGGTGATAGAAAACACGGAAAATGGAACGCTTCAAAAAGTGATTGTGACGTACTTTAAAAAATATATATATGATGATGATTTCATAAGTGTTTTTACGATTGCTTACCACGGTTGAACGGCGAAGTTCCCTTTGCTTTTTGTGCCCCATTACCGTTGAGGACGCAACTTGTGTGCTTATTCTCTTAGCTGTGAAAATATGAAAAATATAACTGAAAAATTTTCTTATGGCCTTTGTGCAGTTTGGAAAATTGAACGTGTATAAACCTTAAAAATTGCTTTGTACGATAGACACCATTGAAAACAGTATACCGGCTAACTTACAATAACCTTTAAGTGTAGGTTTCCTTGAGTGTAAGTTTAAGAAATATAAAATAACTCAATACTTGTGATCAACATGAATGCATACTGAAAAACGACTTGTGAGGGTAGAAAATTCGTGACAAACAGCCTGATAACAACAGTATTTCAACCCCGAAAATCTATCGATCTCAGATGAGTTATTAACCTGTATTGGAACTCCTTCAGCTGTTACAGACCAGTTTTCTGCGAAGTTTGATAAAACCATCAGAATGTTGTTTTAAGATTGGATTATTCGATTTTAATTCATTTTAATTTTTACTTTCTTTTATTGAATATGCAAAGAAACAATTGGCACCAGCAGAGTGAATTTTGATCGTGGGTATTGATTACACAAGTTTCATGAGTTTTTGTTATTTCCCTACACGTTAACAGTATTTGATGAGCTTGGAACTATTTGTGATAACCGATAAAGATCAGAAACGTAATCTGTTGATTTCAAAAAGAGCAATTCGCTTAACCCAAAATAACACCTTAAATTAATGTGACCTCCCGGTCACGGTGTTGATCCTTCACCGCGTGCATCAGGGGATGGGTTTCTGCTAACAAATATAGGTTTGTTGGTTCAAGTACCGGAAAGTACTAAAACGAACGAACTGCTGATGAGTCTCAATTAGGAAATAGTACTGTTTTTCGATCAGCAGTTAGAATTTTGGAAGGACAAAAATCTAAGGGCAGATGAAAGGCACAAGGGAACTTGTTGCGGCATATTGCACTCCTCCGATTGACGTCGGAGTAACATCGAAATTGTGATGTGGTTGTATGAAATTAGCCTGTGCGAAACGTTGAACATGGCGACTAATAGACAGGCAATAGTTGATATTAGAGAGAAACCTCCATTGCTGAACATGTTCGACTCGGAGGTGGTAATCCAGTGGCTACTCTCACCAACATATAGCGCAGGAGGATGCGATGGAATCACACCAACCACAGCCGACAGTCCTTATTTTATGTTGTTTGACAGCCGTTTCCTCCTTCTTGAAAATTGCACGATTCTTTATATATTAAAAGGGAAGCAAAATAAACTATAAGGAAGATTCTTGTATTTGCTTTCCGGTGCTTGCAGATAAAAAATCCTTCCGAAAGATGTTTGAACCAACCAGCCACATTTCGTACCAGAATATAATTTGAAAAAATTGCCATCTGATCACCGTATGTCAGGAAAACGATACCAAGAGCAAAAAGAGTTAAGTGAAGACAAATCATAAACGAATACAACCAACCGTTCGCTTTATCTTATCTTTTGAAAGTCTGTTTCATAGCAGGATGGGTTAGACTATCACTCATGGCTACATGAATGAATGGAGGAAATAGTTGTAAAGAACAATTCAATACTTCCACCAACAATAGGGTGGTTTTGGCGAAGTGGTTCAGTCGCTGCCACCGGCGTGCTTTGAACCCTGTGATTCGAGGCTCGAGCCCCGCCACCATCACCCAACTTTGGTAGGCAGCTCTGCTGTCTTCCGGTTCAATACCACGCCTAACCTACCGGGGCCTTATGCGGTTCGCCACTTCAAGTCCCGGGGCTTAGGTTGCCGGTTCCCACCACTGATCAGCAGATCTTG